AGGCATGCTTAGGGCTAACTCTAGCCCCGAGAGGATGTTTAGCCACTCATTGATGTAGTCATCCAACCCTCAAGGGCCATCTGCATGGTAGGAATGTTCTTCTTCTTGATGGAAACCCTAGATGAATGGAAGAACTCCCAAATGGTGTGTATCTCTCTAATCTCTAGACTCCTCTAACCTCTCTCTCTAAGATAGTGTATCTCCCTCTATCTTCCTTTTTTTTGTATAAAATGGCTCAAAATCCTTATATAGGAAGCTCAAGTGTCACACCCAATGGTCAGGCCTCGTGCACTAGGGTTCCTTCAATGATTGCACCACGAGCTATCTTTTAATGAGCTGGACTCTATTTTTTTTTCGAACTTGAGGGGGTTCGATCGAACAAATTCTGATGAGATCGATCAAACCATGGCGACACCTTTTGGAATACTGACAAATCTGAGATTTTTTCGGGATATTTTGGAAAAAAAGACTAAAGTGGTAGGTGGGGATAATATCAAAGAAGTTCAATCGATCGAAAGGATGTTGGATCGATCAAAGATGGAAATTCTTGGGAATAAGGACAAGAGGCTCGATCCATCTTGATAAGGCTAGACTGATCACTGTGAGATCGATCGAAGGTTGGTCTGATTGATCGAAGATGCTATTTTCCACCACTTTGCTTCCACTTTACTCCTTTATTCCATTTAGCTTGAGATTACTTCTTTTATGCTCTAATTTGGCTGAATTAACTTATTTTGGGGATAAGTGCCTGAAAAGGGCAATAACACGAAATTAGTCTAAAATGAAAAAATAATTAAGATAGATAAAGGTTCTAGAATACTCAATGTTAAGGGGTTTAAATACGTACTTTTCAGTGCTCATCATGTAACTAGGCCACTATTTCCAACAGCCTTTGTTTCTTATTGTATTCTGTATATGGTTTGGGCTCAGCTATAGGTATTTGTAGTTTGGGGTTTTTTTAAACTTTCTTTGGGTTGGGTTAGTCCATGTCTTTTTGTTCTAGGCCTTATAGTCTTGTATCATGCTTTTATATATGCTCCACACTGTAAAGATAACCCCTACAAATAATAAAAAGAGGAATGATACATCTTTTTTTAAAAAAATAAAAAATAAAAAATAATTATCCTCGCAAATTAGGGTGAGGGAATTCAAACACGGGCACATTCGCTCGGACAATTGAAAGTTCTATCAACTAGGCCACTAGATAATGTTCGAATGATACATCTTAGAAATTTTGAAAAATGATGAATTGAAAATATATGAGTGAGGGCATGGCCCCACTCATGATGTCTGGGTAATTTCATATAGTGCAACCCACACCCCGCTCACACATCACATAGTCACTAAGAAAGACTTCCATGCACCAGATATCCTTTGTCATCTGTGCCATCAACAAATAATATCTTATCATATAAGTACATATAAGTGTTTTACTTTAGTGATTCCAATTACAATATATTAGTATATAATCTGTTGGTAAAATCATGTTTTCAATACAACTGGAACACTAAGAGTCAGTTTGGTCAAATGGAAAAGGGAGGAAAGGAAAGGGAAGGTGATGGAGGGTGATTAAAAATTTGTGTTTGGCATAAATGGTTGGTAGGAAAGGAAAAAAAAGGAAATTGTTGGTTTTGGAGGGTTAGCACAAGGCTCAAATAGTAACTTCCTTATCCTCCCAAAAATGGGAGGAAATGGAAGGAAAGGGAAGGAGAGCTTGATGTATTTTTGGTGATGCCAAATTTACCCTCAAGATTACACAAGTTTGCAAAACAAGAATTACAAATACATACAAGTTAGCAGTTGCAAAGAGAGCGAGGACGGCGGACAACGGCTGAAGCTTGCGAACAGCAAACCCGAACTAGAACAACGACGATGGAAACTGAAAGATATGGGTTTTGATTTTTTGAACAATCTGAAATGATATGCCGATATGGGTTTTGAACTTTTAATTCTTGCAGACAGATAGATAAACTGAAATATATGGGTTTTGAACTTCTGATTCTTGTAGTGCAGAGAGAGAGAGAAAGAAAGAGAGTTTAGAACGAGAATATAGATGGAGGCGGCGAGATTGGGGAGGCTGAAATGATTTGCCCTAAATTTTATTTTTTCTTTTCTTGGCCCATCATCCATAGGCCTATTAAATGTATAGGAGACAAAATATATATATATATATATATATATATATATATATATCTACACACACACACACACATTTATCTTTTAAAATAGAAAAGGGTATAATAGTAAATTTTCTAAAATAATTCTCTTTCCTTTCTTTTCCCAAACATGATTATTATACTTCCCTTTCTTTTCCTTTATTAATCAACCAAATACGATGGGGGATGAAAATTATCCTTCCCTTTCCTTCCCTTCCCTTTCCCTCATAACTAATGTTATCATTTCTTTTCAAATTCACCGTTCCAAACATAGTCTAAAACCCAATTTGGCTGGAGGGTAAGGGAAGGAAAATAAAAGAAAGATAACGGAGGTAAATGAAATATTATGTTTGGTATGAATTTTTAAAGGAAAATAAAGGAAATGGAGATATTTGGAAGGATACAAATTATATATACACATACATTATGTGTTGGTTTTGTCATCCTTTCAAAAATGAAAGAAATAGAATGAAAGTCTAGCAATTTTAATGAAACTTTGTTAATACTAAATTTATTCTTATTTTTATAAAGGACAAAATTTATGAAAAATGGTATGATAATAAATTTAATAAAATATTTTTCTTTCTTTTCTTTTTCCCAAATCCGATTACTATTATTTCCTTTCTTTTTTTTTTTTCTCTCCTAACTAATCTTATTTTTTACTATACCAAACATTGCCTAAGGTATTTCTCTTAATCAACATCTGCTAGATGTATCGTTTTTCATAATAATACTATTTAAAAAAAGAAAAAAATACTGCTTCATATATCAAAATATATATATATTAAAAAAAAAAAAAAAAAGTTAAAACAATATTGCTGAGATGGTGTGTGAAGCAATTTGTGTCTCTTTGAAATTGTGATGTACTCATGAATAAGGTCTGTAGCAGGTGAAGTATACGGATGTGGGATGCTAACCTCCATAGGACTGGACCCCCAAAGAGAAAGAGAAATGGCATGGGTACATTATTAATTATATTCATTGAATTGCATCCAAGTCTCGTACGTACGTACAGTTGATGCCAGAGAGATAGTTTGATCAAAGATAATAATCTTTACGTGCTGTTAAATGCTTTGTTTGTTTAATACATGCTTTTCTCCATTATTACACTCACTAGCTTTTTAATTAATATAGCTCCAGCCTCCATCAAACTCTACTCTTTTATGCTGGCTTAATTGAATAGTGGAATAAAGTTAAATTCGAGCTATATATATACATTTGTTCCCAACCCAAATGGGACATTATCATGTGTGTGTGTATATATATATAAATATATGTAAGGTTAATTATTAAGCTTAGAAAATCATATACAACTTAATTTGTGTGCAGGACCTTCCCAATACAATACATTATTTAGTCAAATTGTGTAGCGCCAAATTAAACTTAAAATTGTCAAATGTACTATTTCTTGTTTAGTAAGAGCTTGCTTCTACCACTATATTTATAAACAGATGTTTACAATATGTATCAAAATCTAAGATATTGATTCGATACTCTTAAACACAACATTAAATTATTGGTTGACACTCAATCTATGACCATTATTGTTAAATGATCCCATGCCATGATTTAAAACTGTATTCTGAATGTTGATGACGACTATAGAGAATCAGAGCCATTTATGGTTGTGTACTTAAGGATTATAAAGACTTCAGTGGAACTCAAACATACTGTAGGTAACAAAGAAAACCAATTTCTCAAGACAACCTGAGAATATGTGTAACCTCGCATTCAAAAAAACAAGTTAGCAACTCATAAGACTTTTGCGGCACTCTATTTGAGTATGTCTTAATTTAACCTCGTTAAAAATGCGCAATTGAAATTTCCAACCTATTCTAATTTGTTGACAGACTAAGTATATGAAGACAATTTTCTGGTTTGTGTTTAAAAATTATATAAATAAATAAATTTATTTACTAATATGATACTCCATATATACATCAAACAGGCCCTAACTCCAATGACGATTGTTTGATCAACAATGATTAGAGCTGTATTGAAAGTCAACACAATGGGGAACATTAGACTCGTCATTACTATTTCTGATTTGAAATTTGAATGTCCTCGTGCTTGGTAGGCCCCTTGTGAAAGTCATCTCGTAGTGGCATCCTGTAGGGATGGAGACCCTTCTGCCTTAGGCTGGCTCTTATAACCACCTTCATTTAGTCACTTTAACACAATAAATTCCTTTTTCTCTCGCCTCTCTCTAAACCTCTGCCCCCTCAGCCGCCACCCGATCTTCTCGCTTATGGGGAGTGGGGAGTGGGGAGGGGCCGATTAATAAACTTGACGTGATGTACATAATTTTGTTCGATTAGTAATTTTACGCTATTTTACTGTTGTTTTGTTGGATTTATTTTTGATTTGACTTAACAAGGTGAATCTGGTATTTTGTTTCCGGTTAGATCCTTGATCTATGTCTAGTTTTGGTGTTCTCGTCTTTTTATGCGGGGTTTGGGTAATTTTTTTTTTAATCGACGACGCCTTGTGAATGCAGCCTTAAAACTGTTGTCTTGATGATGGCCTGATATTTGGGTCACTACCGTTATTACTCTTCTCCTTGGTTGTTTCTCAACAAATTGAAGACCTGTTCTTCACAATTTTTATTGTATTGTTTCTTGATTTGTTTGTTTTTATACGATGTTTATAACTGTATTTGTAGATACAGTATGATATGGTTTTTTTTTTGCCAAAAAAAAATATATATATATATATATATAACCCTCCTATCCTTTTTTGCACTCTCTCTCTCTCTCTCTCTCTCTCTATATATATATATATAATATATACATATATTATTTTATGTATAAAACTATTGTTTACTATCTCAAAAAACAGAAAAAGTTTCCAATAACAATGCTAGGCTGGTCAAGAAACAAGCACTAGTAACCATTTCTCACATTTATACACTCAATGAACAAAAAGATAAATACAACAAAGAAATACAAAACTCTCTATTTATTTATTCTTTGGAACATCTCCCTCTTTCTCCCCCTCCCTCCCTCCCTCCCTCCCTCAGATTTATTAGTTCAGTCAATAAAAAATAAATAAATAAAATAAAATAAAACAAAACATGTAATACCACTATAGCCTTACAACCCACCCATGTGTTGTGTTTATGCATTCTCCCAGGCTCTTTCACCGCCCTATCTCACACCAGCCGGAATCTGACCCCACATACCGTCCGTCCGACAATTTCTGCAATCTGATTATGACCCACTTACACAAACTCAGTGATCATCTGCTCACACACACACCCACATTTTATCTCTGCAGCTAGCTCGGTCTCTCTCTTTCTTTCTCTCTCTTGTCTCACTCAACGGTGGCTAGTGAAGATGGTTTGTTTGTTACTATCTCGTAACCACCTCCTTCATCATCTTCCTCGTCTTCATCATCCACATCATCTTCATCTTCATGGTTGATCTCCTCATCATCATCCGCGTTCTCGCTCTCGTGATCCGGCATTGCCCCATCTAGCCTTTGCTGCTCTTGGGGAAGTGGAAGGGGCCATTGCTGCTCCGGCCGAGCCATTATTGGCACCGCCACCGGATTTTCAGGTTTCATTACAGATCCAACTTGATGGAATATTGGAGCATCAATAGTACCTTTGTTTTTCTCTCTGTATAGAGCATCAAGCTGGTGATAATATGGACATGTCTTCGAGTCCTCAGGCCTCTTCTTGTTGCTCTCTTTCACCTTCTTGAAGTACTTGTTTATGTTCTCCCATTTCTCTTTGCATCTCTTTGAGCTCCGGTTGTATCCGAGCTTACGCATGGCAGCCGATATCTCCTCCCACAGAGGCCCTTTCGGCCCGTTGTCTTGATACTTGAGATCAAGATTGGTTCGGAGCTTAATGAGAGCTTCAACTTCTGCTTTAGGCCATCTAGAAGGGCTGGCTGGAATGAAGTTGTCACAGGGGCCGCCATTATCAGTTTTCGGCTTGTCTAGAATTTTAGTGAGCTGTAGTGGTGGATGATGCTGCTGCTGCTGTGGCGGCGGCGGCGGTGGTGCTGGTGGTTGTGGTGGCGGTGGCAATGGAGGAGTAGTACTTTCCTGCATTTGCACTTGAATTTGTGACAGTAAATTCGGGTTTTGGTGCTCGGATATCTTCTGCAAGAATGCAATAACTGCAGCATCTTTTGCTGCGGTTATGGATCTCTCATGGACTAAAAGCTCATGCTCTCTATTCAATCTTGCCATCTCTTGTACCCTCCAAGCCTCTTCTCTCACCATCCGATCTCGTTCGCGTCTCTCCAATGCTTCCAAGAACTTCTTCTGCATCTCCTCTTGCTTGTCCATGACCTCCTTCATTATCCTCTCAAAAAAGTCCTCCCATTTTCGCTTTCTCCCCCGGTGCCTCCCCTCGTGTTCTTGGTCAGACGAAGTCGAAGAAGAGGTGGAATTGAGCATGAGGTTGGTTGATATGTTGGGAAGAAAAGACCGGATTCCAATGACTTGAGAGGGATTTGTAGGGTTTGTTGTTGTAGGTGTTGGCAGTACAGTTAGTGGGTCTATAATTGGCGTGGCATTGTTTTGTGATGATACATTTATAGGGTTTGTGGTGGATGGAACAGTGAAATGTGACACAATTGGGGGATTAGTCCCCGGCATTGCTGCCACCGGAGTTTGAGGCTTCGGCGGTGGGGGAAGATAGAGAAGAGGAGGAGCTGGATGATTTTCGAGGGCCTCTAATTGATCGAAAAACCGGTAGGTCTTGCCGTCTGATTTGGTGGCTCGGCCTTCTCTGGTTCTCTTGTGGTATTTGTAGACGTTCTCGAATTTTTCTTTGCATTTCTTGGCTCTTCGATGATACCCAAGTTCTGCTAGTTTCCTGATAACAACAGTTGCTAATAAACACTTGGTTTCTGTCTCTATCCAATCTTAAATTCATCAATAAAACAAACACTAATACCAATTTTTGACATAAAGTAAGCATGAAAATCAGCACTAAACATTACAAGAAACAAAGGGAAAAGCCCAAGAAACATAGTGAAAATCAAACAACTTCCAACACATTTTCCATGGAGAAACACATATAATTCATGCTGCAGATTTCATTATATGTGTGTGTTTGTGTGTGTGTGATTTCCTTGTCAGCTGAATTACACTAAATGAGAGTTTAAAAATATTATATAAGATAAAGAGAATTGAAAGAACCAATGTTTCTAAAAACAATTTATCTGAATTTTCTTTTTATAATTATTATTATTGATAAGTAAAAATATAAAATAGAAAATTTATCTGAATTTTCTTGCTAGATTTTGCAAGAAAATGCCAGTATTATTAAGGAAGCAAACCAGATTATAACAAAAGCCCAGAATCAAAATTCCATAACGCTACTGAATTTCAATAAAAGATGAACTAAAACCCATAACCCTTTATTCAGCAAGTGAAATTCAGTTGAAATTTGATCCACAGATCTCTAATATATATATATATATATATATATAATCTAAAAAACAACTTGAATTGCTATATGTGAACTTCATCAAAAGCTAGATGTGTGTGATAAATTCATTACCTCGAAACCTCTTCCCATAAGGGACCTTTGAGACTCGAATCTCGAAACACAACGTCCATGTCGGACCTTACCTTCAACAGAGCCAATGTTTCTTGCCTCGGCCACCGGTTTCCACCGGAGTTCCGCTCACCGTCTTCACCTCTACCTTTCTCTTCTTCACTGAATCCACCGGAACTCGACCCAACCCCACCCATTTCACCACCACCTCCTCCTCCTCCTCCTCCGCCGCCGTCTTCATGAGCTTCCACAGCTGGAGCACCGTCGCCGGGATTGCCTAACAAACCCGAAACGCCTAGCATGACAGCAGAGAGTACTCCTGTGCCAATTACAGCTCAAAAAATAAAAATATATAACAAAAGATGGTGAATTCTAAGGAGTTATATGAAGATAGGTGTATGGTGAATTTATTAATTTATTTCGGTGGGATCTATCTTTCAATTCATACCAATATATAAATATATATATATATATATATATATATATATATATATATATATTTCTTTTTGAGCTGTGGAATCTTCACTCTTTTTTTTTCTTTTTCGGGTTAAAAAGTTTTAAAGAACACCATAAAGGTCAATTGGGTTCTTCAAGTAACAATAAAAACAGCACAGAAAGAATAAATGTATGTATATGCATAAGTATATGTATATACATATACTGTATATATATATGTGTGTGTATATCGTATATAGTAATGAAAAAATTGACTAGCTGCAGATAGAGACGATGATGATAATAAGTTGGTTTTTGTCTGTCCAGCTAAATATAGTTAAAAGCCGGCCCATGTAGGTCAGCTTTGCTTTTGGGAGTTTTGGATTTCAGTGGATGTTGGGCTACACTTGGGGCTGTTATGGGTCTTGTGAAATAACTATTTTACCCCTAACATGTCTACCCCATTGACCTCAAATCATAGAAGCTAATTTGACTAATTTTTTAATTGCTGGACCCATCATCAATGGACCCAAGATTTTTTATTTTTTATTTTTTATTTTTTGTGGACCTAAGATTTTAGGTTCCCAAAATACCCTTGGATTTTAAATGTGTTTTTAAGTTTATAAGCCCCCTGTTTACAACTTGTTGGGAGAGACTGTGGTGCTCGTCCGACCACGTAGGCAAGCGGAGCCCACTAGCAAATAGGAGTTTGACAACTCATACTATTAACATTATTGTCAAAGAAAAAGAAAGCGATTGTCAATGTGTTTTTTTTGTAGTAAAATGATATTAGAAGGGTCATTTTAGGTAGGATCCAATGTTGAATTAAACTAATTTGAGATTGGTGGTCTTGTGTTTAGCCAAAGGCCATTAATGAATAGGAGTAAATAATGACAAATTCGGTTAGGTTGCAAACCTAACACAATAAATGGTGTAGAAATTTCAATGGTGTGGATCTTAACCTAAGATATTTTAGAATTGTTTGAAATTTGGGTACTATGAATTGGTTAGTTTAGTTTGTAAACTTTGGATGTTTCTAACAATTTTTGAAGCAAAAATTATTTTCTTAATTTTTAATTTTGCTAGCATCTCTCTTCTTTGATTCCATTAAAACAATTGGTTGTCATGTATTCAAAGGTGGCTATTCTTTCTCAAATTTTTAATGGACACCTCAATTGGTTGTAAAATTGTTGGTAACACCTCAATTGCATGTAAGAAGTGGTAAATTTTTTTTAAAAACTTTTGCATTAAAATGTGTATAATAGAACTGCATAAATAAGTTGAAACATGTTTTTACATTAACGGGAATGATCCATTTATACTTTTTGTAAAAGTAAGATAAAATTGCACTAAACACACCCTTCAATAATCAAATGCACCTCTTAACTATTAATTGTTGTAGTTAAGCCCTCCAACTTTTAGATGTGTGCATTACACGCGACATTAAATAGTTTATGATACCACTTGATTTGTAATTATGAAAATAATTATCAAAAATTCAAAAAATAAAAAAATAAAAATTTAAAAATTATAAAAAATAGTTTTACGAAAACATGTCTTTTTGTAACTATGGTCTCCTTGATTTGTAACTATAAAAATAGTTTTTTGAAAACTGAATCAAACAGAATTTTTGTACAAATTTTTTATTTTCAATTATTTGAAAATAAAAAATATTTTTTAAAATTACAAACCAAGCATATCCTTACTTAATGGCCTGAATACCCTCATTATACCCATTTTACCCTTGCAATGTGACCCTTTTTATCTACATATCCATAGTTAGATAGGTGAGGATAAAATGTGTATAATGAGGGTATTTAGGTCATGAAGTTATTATATCAGGTGTGCTACAGTCATCTAACGGATTGTAACTTATTTGATATCATGTGTACTACACTTATCTAACTTAATAGTCATACGTGACGGCAGTCAATCTCAGAGGCCCAATGTGACTTGTTTTTTAAAGTTAGAGGACTTAATTGTAACCATTAGTTGTTAAGAGGTGCATTTTGTAACAAGTTAATAATTGAACGGATGTGTTACAATTTGACCTAAAATAAATTCTTTACGTGTGTACTACACTTATCTAACTTAATGGTCATACGTGACGGTAGTCAATCTCAGAGGCCCAATGTGACTTGTGTTTTTAAAGTTAGAGGACTTAATTGTAACCATTAGTTGTTAAGAGGTGCATTTTGTAACAAGTTAATAATTGAACGGAGGTGTTACACTTTGACCTAAAATAAATTCTTTACATGTGCGTGTCAATTTACTCTATAACTTTACTTTATCTTTTGGGAATCAAACAATTTGATCAACCCAATTAGAATTTAATGTTGTATTGTCAATAATTTTGCCAAAAAAAAAAAAAAAAAAAAATCACAATTAAATTATATTATAAATAATATAATATTTATCAATGGATATTACTTTTTAAAGGGAGGTCAGTGAATCAAGTCTTAGTAGAGACATGTATGTATGAGTACCAACTAAAAAAAATTTAATTATATTTCTTAGTATTTGTATAGAATGAAAAAATGGGTTAAAAGCGGAAACACTTATTTTTTTATTGGTATTTGGCATGCATGACCATATATATATATATATATATATATGTATGTATGTCAGTATATAGGACATTGGAATTGATAAATGAAATTACTTAAATTGTTCTTAGGTGGTATCAATAAAGTTAATTCTACCCCTTCATTTAAATTTTAACTAAATTGCTTAAAATTCACATTAAATCAGTTTGTGAAATTAAAAAAAAAAAAAAAAAAAATTACAAAGAAGACTTTTAAATTAGTTGTCCCATTGCTGATGCCTCAAAACCTAATTGGATAAGAGGCACTTGTGGAACTTGGAGTGTTCGAGAGGTTCGAGCCGCTGCGCCTACTAACATAATTTAATATTTAACATTATTTGCCTCGCCAAGCCAAAAAAATAGATCTCCCATTAAGAAAGTCAAAATGAAAATATTCGATATACCCTTTTTAAAATAAATATATATATTAATAAAAGATAGTAGAAATCATTTGTCCCTTGTGACTTGGAAGATTAGCCAAAAGCTTTGTGAAAAGAAAAAGTAGAATTTGAAGTAATGAAAATTTAACTCCTCTTTTAAATGAAAAATTAAATAAAAAAATATGGGAACTTAATAGGTTTTGTTTATGCTTTTAATTAACTCTACTAAATTATAAAGTCAAAATACATACTTATAGTATATGATAATATATAATATAGAGTAGTGATACTTGCATCCAACAATTATTGGTGAATTTCCTAATCGAATAATTTTTAATTAAATATTTATATTAAATATAAGGTTTAATTACAACGGTACTCCCTAAAGTTTGCTATAATGACAGTCATATATAAGTTAGGCCTTTTTTGAATATTGACACCCCATGTCAGAAATTTTAGTCAAACAGTCCCTAAAAAATTGGTAAAAGACAAGATTGTCCTTCAATATTTAATTAATTTTTTAATATAAAATATCTAAGGACATAAATGACATAATTGCCCTTGATGTATACAGACCACCATTTCTGTCTAAGCTCTCATCTTAAATGTTGGTGGCGGCGATGAAGTGGACGGAGGTGAGCCCAGTCGGAGGGATGATTAGGTGATGAAAATGGAACTGGGTGTGAAAGACATGTTCAAAAGTACGATTAAGATCTACCACGCTAGGGACACCACCATCGACCACATCGCCGTCAAGATCTTTAACAACAATAAGATGATCAAAACTAGCTTGATGTCCTTCAACCCAAAACCAGAGATTAGAGCATTAAGATCAATTGAAAAGGGGAGAGATTGGTGATTTTAACGGCGTTGTCGAGCGTGACAGTTATCAACATGGTGGTGCAGAAGCTTAGGAATAAGTTTGAGAAACCAAAGACAAAGGATTTCATGGTTAGATCTCTCTCTACCCTCTTCAATTTCGCACCCATAAGCCCATTTCAACAATTTTGGCAAGGAGAAAGTGGTCGTTGTCATTAGTTTAGCCGCCATGGGTCTTCAATGGGGGTGCAGATGGTGGCGATTTTGTTTTGAAAATGGTTGTATCTGAAGCAACAGTGACGATCTGTGATTGCAAGCTGCAGTGGTGGCGGTGTAGATTTGCAACTTGTAGCGGTGAGGAAGTGTGGTGGTCAGCACTGATATATGCCTGCTGATTTTTGCCAATAAGTCTGATTTTGATTATTGACATATTTTGCTTTGGAAAGAAAAAGAAGATCAGAGCAAGGAGGGTAAAGATTTGTTTGGTTATGTATATTGTTGGGGGAGAAATTCACGTGGTCCGATACGATACCGTTTTCTTGCAAAGAAGAGAGTAGAAGATCGATGAATTTTGACGGCACTAGTGTGGTGCCTGCCAAGAGTTTTCCGACGATCAAGTTAGTCACCGGAGGTCTAAAAGAAAGGCAGGGATTTAATAATCGTTTTTTGTCATCCCTTTATTGACTGGTAGGATCTCATTCTTATAGTCGCTCTCCTTCAGTTCATTTGCGGGATTAGAGGAGATCTGCTCGTGCGAGATCAGAGGAGATCTGTTTGTTGCCAGATTTGTCTGGGATATGATTTACCCCTTTGACTTCCTCAAATTGTGCCAAGGTTATCCTTACCCTGTTGAACCACGTCATCTTTCATTATCCTTGATAATGAAATATTATCATTCTTATTTAATGGAAAGTCGAAAAGGTCTGACTGTTGATCAACACTTAGTTGTCTCTATCGTTAGATCAAGGTAGGTTAGGTTTATTTTTTCCTATCATATATATATATGTGTGTGTGTAAATAAATATATATAGAGAAAAGTAAGTATGAATTTTTTGATATATATATATATATAATAGCATACATTTGGTAATGGACGTGGTGGTGGTGGGTGGGTGGAGAGAGATGAGGAAGAAGGCAATGTTGTGGGTGGAGGGTATTTTTGTTCTTAAATTGGTATGGTTTTTTTTTATTTAAATTAAAAATATTAAAAAAATGAGACAATTGAAAAGTCAAAGGGTAATAACATCATTTTAGCTTTTGTCAGAGGCAGCGGGGGTGTCTTCATTAACTTTATCAAATTTGAAGAGATGTCATTGTTCAAAAAGATGCTAATTTATATATGACTGTTATTAGGACAAATATCAAGAAGTGTCATTATAATT